TCTAAATTATTTGATTGCATATAAAAAAAGAAGTAGTTAAGATTACGATAATTTGAATCAATGATTCAAATTACAAAGTAAAATGCATGTTGCAATAAAGGACGGTATAAAAATTATACTGAAATCTCACATGATTTTGTTGGTCTTTTAAGATATTTATGTTGTGAGTCAAAACATCAACGTAAGACTTCGTTTTTGTTACTGAAATTATGCATGTGAAAAATTTTCAACCACTTTATTTAAGTATGTTAGATAGAGCTTGAACTATAAGTAACTATAAATAGGTATGTCATTACTAAGTGTATTTAAAATATGAAAATTCAACCAAGTGCTATTATAGAGGATATTGTTGGAAGGCTTTTTCTTTACGCCAAGTTGTCATAATTTATTTATTTTTTTGATTCATTTGTCTTTATAAACTCAAAACATAAATAACCGAACAACAGTCTCAAGTTGCTATTTACAAGTGTAAAATAGAGTAAATATTGGATCGATTTAATGAACATGTCTATTTAAAGGCCATATGGCACCCACGACCTTTAAATCTTGGATCCGCCTCTGAATACAACACAAATAAAAGCATTATGACAATAATGTCAATTGTAAGCTAAAAGGCAAATACAGTAACTAGCAAGGTACTGGTATTAATATTTTATATTTATGCAAGGGCAAAGTAGAAAATTATTACCGTCTTAATGAGTTATTGATTTATCCAATATTTAAAATTCAAATGAACCAATAACCCGATAATTTATTTTATAAAACCATTAAAAACTCGTTAATCTAATAACCTGATAGCAATAAATCAATATCATTTATTTTGATTCGATTTATTGATCCGTTCAATTTTTGCACATCCACCCATCCCTAACTTATTTTAGACGATATTTTTTAGAACATAATCTTAATTTTCATGTCAAATCAAATGAACCAATAACCCAATAATTTATTTTATTAAATCATTAAAACTTGTTAATCTAATAACCTGATAGCAATAAATCAATATCATTTATTTTGATTCGATTTATTGATCCGTTCAATTTTTGCACATCCATACATCCCTAACTTATTTTAGACGATATTTTTTAGAACATAATCTTAATTTTCATATCAAATCAAATAACGGTAGATCAACGGATTAAAAATATCTTGCCGCCGATGGCTAGGCCTTTATCCTTTAGCATAAATCGAGGAGCCGAAATTTATATTTGGCACTTGGCACTTGGTGGAGCTCTTCTTGTAACAAGTCATCAAAATCTTTTATTCTCCACTATATATTATAAAAATAAATATTCTTTTAACAGTATACCACACCCTCTGCAATCTGAAAACTAAAAATATTAAAAAACTGAAAAAAATAAAATTAAAAATCATAACGTCTGGAAACTCTAGAACATACTAGAACAACAATTAGAAACTACTAAATACATCATACTTGTTCTTCGTGCTCGTGGTCCTACTAGAGTTGGTGTTTATCTATACCGTCAAAATAGCCTTTTTTTAATGTTATTAAATTAATCTTATGCTATTATTAGTATTATATTCCAATATTGGTACAGTATATATAATAGAATACTAGTATTATATTCCAACATTGGTACAGTATATATAATATAACAGTTGAGTGGGATTAAATATGCACCATTTTAATTTTGGGTCATGAACTCATGATGAGAGATCACAAGTGGCACTTTAAGTAGGCATTTTGACCATAAATTTTAAATATTTTTTTAAAATTTATGGAAATAAAATTATATCTAATTATAATTTTGTAAAAATTTGAAACAATGTTTATGTTTAAACAATTTAAGTGTAGTTTTAAAAATGAAAAGTGAGTTATAAAATAAATTATAGTCTTTATTTGTAGGAGTTTGCGGGATGAACCCGTGCATGTTTAGTGTAGGAATGTCGTTAGTCCATTAACACAAACTTAGACCTATCTTATAAGTGAGCAGTCTTTGGTAGATTGCAGAATCAATCAAGAAAATCTAAAAAATGACTGTTAATAGCATCACAGTATCTTAGATTAAGAATAATAATTTAATATAATGAAAAAATATGCTAGGGAACAAAATAGGTATTATTTTTCAAATTTGAAATTTTCATGATCAAATATGAATTTTTAAAAATAAAGTAAACTACTCTAAAAAAAATAATCTTTTTATGGTCAAAACATATCCTAAATGTTTTGGTCAACACCTTACGCATTTGTGCCTAGATGGTGTCAGAATAAAATGTTAATACATTATTAAACCCACTGTAACGAGGCAAATTTTAATACTATTATAGCACGATAATGGATTCAAACTTTGCCACGCAGTGAACCACAAAAAGATAATAATAAAAATACAAAGGAATCAACAAATTGATGACTATTTTCCAATACTACAATGTTGTTGCCAGTTGTCCTAGGTGTCTTTTTTGATACTCCTCCGGTCTCTGTTTATTTATTCGTTATATTAATGATAATTTTTTTAATCGTAAGAACATGAGTGAGTGATTAAGAGATGTGAATTTTTTATATAGGAGATTTGAAATCGAATTTAGTCCATGTATGCTATTCAATTATGAACTTATCGCATGAAATTTGTATAATGCAATTTATATTTTTTGTATCGTTGGCGAACTTTTACATAATGAGATGTAGTTCGAAATAAAAATATTTTTACATATTCAACTTGAAAACTTAAAACATAATTTATTTTTTTGTATTTATTTCATCTTTATAATTGAGTATTAAGTATTGATATTTAAATATTGAAATAATTTATAATAATCAGGAACAATAAAATAAATATATCAATTTAATTATTTATTACTTATTAAAAAGTATATTAAGTCAAACATAAGCAAGTTATAAATACAAATGGAATCGGGGGAGAATAGTAACTTTATACAACTTCATGTTGATGGATTCTTATGTCTTTTAAGAATTACATTATTCATTTAACATTTAATGTATTAAAATGTAAACTATAAGAATCTTCAAATTTAAAAGTTTAGCTTCAAATTTTAAAGAAGTTGTTACAATGCATCTAAACTATTTAAAATTAACTAGGATTAATTCTTTATATGCTTAATTCATGTATCCGATTTTTTTTTGTTTTTACGTTTTTTGGACAAATTTTATATTTCGTGTCTCCTCCTAAATTAGACTATGCCCTTAAGACTTTACATGATTCGTCTTAATTTTAACTAATAAAAACATTTGACTTTAAACCACTTTGACAAAGAAAGATATATAAATCTTCACATAAAAATATTTTGATATGATTTTTTTGTAAATCCTATATATTAATTGGTTTAATAGTCTAAGTTAAGTTATACAATTAATCAACTAATTGCAGAGTTAAGTATTGTGTATATTCTTATATGTGTGTGTGAGAAAGAATAAATAATTTAATCAAATAATTAATTTAAGCTGAGATTGTGAAATGTAAATGAAAATTAAGAATTACATTTCATAGAACAAAATTCAAAAATAAGAAAAGAAAAGGCACAATTTTATTTGCTAATTCAATTTATAAAAGGGTGAAAATTATATTCATATCATTACTATAGAGTATAGGACCACGCCGATATGGTACATGAACGAAGCTAGTCCCCTACAGATCATTGCTATTAGGCATACATAAGACCCCTAACGTGTGTAGTGTTGTGTGAGTTCAATGACTCTATGACCTATACCAATTTGAGTCGGCCAATAATATAAACCAATACATAATGATTTGTATTGATACTGCCTTGTAGTACTCTTCTTTAATTGAATGCAAATCGTGTTTTAAAAGTTCTTTCAAGACTTCAATTTTAGCTTAATCAGCAGATTTCGATTAACACGATCTATCACAGACCATGAGAGATTAACAATCTTCTCTTCGGGGTCAGTGGCATCCTTGTTACCATGATAGTCTAAATTAATGTCTGAATATCTTCTCCATCCGTATATTGTCAACATTTCAACGAGAATTAAAGCTCTCGCGTAGAGAGTTTTTTTTTTAAAAAATGTTCTTCAAATTGAAGGTATCTTTCAAGTTTAATTAATATTTTTTGAAAAAAATACAAACCTTGAATGAAAATATAATTAAAGTTTAATACAATTTGTAAATAATTGAACAAAAAATACAGAATTTGTTAATTTAGTAAAATTTGTGGACACCTTAACAATATGTGAAATGAAAGTACTACTCTCACAACATACTCTTAACAATATTAATCGATTTATGAAATTTATGAACAATTTAACATGATATATAGGTAGAATAAAGATTATATTAAAACTATGGCTCATCCAACATAATTTGTAAATAAAATAAGATTTCTCAATCAATAAACTTATGAACAATTTAACCAAATAAACAAAGTGAAAATAATATAATCTCTATCACCTTTTGCATGATATTTTTCCACCAACCCCCTTTCTTGTTTTTTTTCCTTGTCTAGTATATAGTTTTCATTTTTTTTAATGATGTCAATCAATAATAGGGCAGTCACAATCCCACAAATCAAGTTGCCCCAAACTGCTGTTTCAAAAACCACTTCTTGCAACTTGCAACTCTTGTGGGCCCAAACCACACCTCAACCATACCTTAGTTCCAGAACTTTCTTATAAAGAACCTTCTCCTCCTTCCAATTTCGAAACTACTTATTATTAAAAAAGTTGGATTACATATATTATTCTCTCCGCTCCGTGTCAGCACACTTTCTTTTAAGTCCGTCTTAAAATGTATAACACATTTTCTCAAATATTTAATAATAATATCAATATCTTATGTATGTTAGATGACTAGATCTACCACACATATAAAATGTAATTTTTTATTTTAAATTTTCATGCCCAGTTAAACTACATACATAAATTAAAATGAAGGAAATAATAAATAAAAAATTGCATAGGAGGAAGATACTCACACCCCAAAATGTCTAGAAGTCTAGAACCTTCCACTTAAACAATATTTTATTAGTACTATCTTTTTTTTTTTATTATTTCTTAGCAACTCAATAGGTGGAATTGCTGACTCTTCTTTTTTTATTAATAGCCTTTTAGCACTTACTTCCAAAGCTTCTTTATCCATGGTGTTCAGAGCAATTTATTCACTAAAATAACTCAACTTCTTAACTGCATAAACTACCTTACCCAAAGAGAAACTTTCCATTTCCAAAATCCAAAATCCAAACTTTTTTCTTCCTAAAAATACATATATTTTCCCCTGTTTCTTGATGATGAATCAATTGTATTCTGTTAAAGAGGAGTTCCCGGGGTCAAGTTCTGGTGGCAAGCCCCCACCGCCGACACCACAACCAATGGAAGGGCTTCATGACATTGGTCCACCACCATTCCTTACAAAGACATATGAAATGGTGGATGATTCAACTATAGATCATGTTGTTTCTTGGAACAGAGGAGGTCAAAGCTTCGTAGTCTGGGATCCTCATGCCTTTTCAACTACACTACTTCCCAGATTCTTCAAACATAATAATTTCTCGAGCTTTGTCAGACAGCAAAATACGTATGTAAGTATAACTTAGTCAAAAATCAGTTAACTCCTCTAATACATTTTTTCAAGTGGGAAATTTGTATTTACTTTCTTTCAAATATATTTGTTCGCTCCTGATTGCTAAATCTTTGTGAACATACAAGTGAACAAGGTTATTATAGGACGAAGAGATATGTATTTGTATTTGTATATACAGTCCCTCACGCTTTATATCAATTCAAATGCAAATTATACATTTGTGTTTGTATAAAGTGAGAGAGGCGAAGAGAGATCAGTGAGAGTGCGAGTGAGATTCCAGAAAGAGGGAAGAGAGGCGAATGACAAGAAGTTTGCTGCGAATTGAAATTAAATGAAACCGTAGGTATATCATTCATTTTGAATTAATAGTTTGCTATAATGTACAATTTTCCTTTTTACTCCTTTTCTTCTCGTTCTCATTTTTTGGTAAGAATATTTTTATAGTAAGAAATAATAATTTTAGCTAAGTGGGCAACGATTTTGAAGAGATTGTGAATTTCCCGAAAAGAAGTTGTTGATCTTTCAGACAATTTAATTATGAAAAAGTAAATAATTAGACATACTTTGTTATCATATATATTATTATTATCTATACTTTCAAAATATTATATATCTTACCACTAATTAAGAGTTCCCTACCATATATTGAAAAAAATACACGTAAATATATGTATTTTTGCTATCAGATATACAAAAATAGGGAGAGAAACGAGCAGATTGCAGAGGGAGGCGAGTGAGATTAGTATGTATCCTAGATGCATATGAATCATTCTCGATACACACCAGAAACATATATATATATCTGGTATGATTCACATGTATCTGGAATACCATATACCTGGAAAGTGACAAGCAAGATGAGAGAGAGGTGACGGGGATGAGCTAGATTTGTTATGTATCCCCGATACATGTGAATCCACTTTGATACAATGTATTTAGAACAAACTACACTTAATTTTGACCTCATGTATTTGAATGTATCTGGATACACCAAAATCTGGTAAAATACGTAATATTGCAAATTAGAGTGTATCTAAATAACTAGCTCCCAAACTAGTAAGATTTATGTGAGTTTCCTTTTAATTATTATATAGCATCAGGGTTAAGTTTCTAATTAGTTTCTTGTAATTCTTTTGGGCATGCAGTATTGGACAATATGTGGACTCCCAAATTGAGATTTGAGAAGAAAGAGCACCAAGCTAATCTAAGTACTATTACTTATATGTGTAATATTGTAAACATATTTTCCTTCCTAGCTACGTACTCTTGTTTTTGCTTAAGTATTGTATCTTTTGACTTAATTTTGTGTGAAGAAGAGTGTATGATCAGTGCTATATATATGAAATAAAACAAATATTATTAGTAAGTTCTCTTAAATTTTGCTATAGATGGATCGTTATTATTTATTTTAGGTTGTACGCAACTTTTACGTTCCTTCAAGTACAGACTTGGTCGTTCAAAAAGTTTAACATGTTTCTGACTCGGTTTGGTCCGTTCGCCGTATGTGACTAGCACTTCACAAGGCAACTTATCTTCAATAGGGGCCTTTAGTTTTTTATTAGAGTAGGGGTCGTGAGAACAGAGCGTACCGCCCTGTTATAATTATAATCACGAGTTTGTTTATAGTCGTGATTGTTGTCATAGTCAATAAAGTTAAACGTTCCAGGAAAAAACTTTGAATTAGGAGGGCGATCCTCCTAGTGAATTGGCCATACCGTAAACCGATATACTAGGGCTCTTGAGAGAACCATGTCAAAGGAACTTGACAAATGACCATGTATAGGAACTAGAAACAGCTTTAGAAGCACAAAATTGCGCGTCTTGATCAAGCTCAACATTACACACAACATTTGAAATTAATTCGATAAGTTGAAGTTGCATCATGTCTTGTCTAATCACCTTTCTCCAAATATTTCTTCGACCTACCTCTCCCTCTCTTTATGTCATCCATATCCAACCTCTCACACCTCCATACTGGGACATCCGTACATTTTTGTTTAGTTGAAAGTCCTAGTAGAGAATTGGTATCCAAATAAATTGATGTTACTCCTCTTGTCAACAATCAAACGATCAATTGTCATTTGTCACGACACCAAATTAAACTGATAATTCCTATCAGTTTACACTAGGAGAATTTATTACAGTTGAAACTTGAAAACAAATGTGCTATCATATATATGTAAGCATTTTAAATTTATTTTATTCGAAAATTAGAACTTTCAGCTAAACAAAGAAGTTCACAAAATATCTTTATTAAGTAAAGGATGTAACAACTGCATAAAAGTCAATTTTACCAGTTTCTATTATATTAGCAAAAAGAAGACGTCTCTAAACGTCTCATGCATTAACTCGAAACAAATCGAATTTCCACACTTACTAAACTGTGACAATTTCTCAATTCCATGCAGAGTACAATATTTTATATATAGAAAATAGGTACATAAAAGAAGAGAGTTTTTAATATTAGAATTTCACAAAAATATGTAAAGCCAGAGGACTTTGATTTGTACCTTTTATTTTTGGTGTGTGATTGGATTTTTTTTAACAAATATCAATATAACAAAGTTATCCTTATACAAGGGGAGTGAATTGGCACCGTCTCGTTGGCAAATTATAACGTATAAATAGGTCAAAATTTTCTTTTTATGTAGATATATTATATGTTAAATTTTTTTAATAAATAAAATTATATTTTAACTCTAATATGGCACTCATGTGGGGTAAGGTTATCATATATAGTTGTGGCTCCATGGCCAAAATAAAAATAAAATTATTTTTTAAATAAAGTATACACACATATATACACACACATATATATATAATCATACGCAAAATTATCTTACAAGGTGTTATCATCATCAGTGGTGTGATCAGTTCGCATCACATTTAGATTTTAGGGTGAGTCTCGACCTAGACCTAACACATGAAAAGAATTAATTAATCTTGCTAGGTTCCGTTTAATATAATTATTAAACACTCGTACATGAGTATATCAACTATAACATATATTTTTTAGTTAGTCTAAAAAAAATTATTTTTATATTACTAATAAATTTATTTTAAAATATTCATTTTACTCTTTTTTAATTTATAGTGACACACATTTATATATAGGGGTGTGTATCGATTAGTACGGTTTGGTGTATCGATTTTTTATTTTAAAATATGCTAAACCAATAACTAAATCAATAAGATATTTTTTATCAGTTTTTAGTTTATTAATTGTGGTGCTTAACGGTTCGGTTTTCAGTTTAGCCAATAAAAAAGATGCTCATAAAATAAACAGAGAAGGGTCTAAAATGCCCCTAAAGTATTTGAATTGGTACAAAATTACCCTTCATTCACCTATCGGCCCTAAAATACCCCTGACGTCCACCTTTCTGCTCAAAAATACCCTCGATGTTAATCATTTGACTCATATTTGCCCTTATTTTTAATACCTCCCTTAAAGTAAAATTATTAAATATTTATTTATTATATTGCTTAATGTGATTGGTCCAAATTTAAATCCTTTCTCATATAAATAATAAAAATGATATTTTTAAAATTCTATTTTTCTATCAAAACCACTTATGATTCATATTTTGATCCGATACACTTGAAAATAATATTGAAAAAATAATTAATTTCATGATATCTTCCTATTGGCCTATTTTAAATCAACCCCAATTTATTATAACGTAACCCAACTCATAAATGGGGATCCAACTAAAATCCATGCTTACCCCGACCGATTGTCCATCTAAAAAAATTATTATTTTCATTAATATAAAATGTTCTCTCAATTATCCAAATGTCTTGTTCATTTCCTCTCTTATTCCTTTTTTTAATCTTTTATTCTTAATTAGGATATCCGGGACTCAAACTTGAAATGAACTCACATATTTATATTGTTTTAATTCGTATTATATTATCACGATGGGATGAGGGTGGGGATAAGAGAAATGATTATTTTTACTTTTATTTTTAATTTTGGGTTCACACAAAAAAATGTAATATTTGTACATATTTGCTTAATTAAGTCATCTTTTATTGAATTAATTATTTCTATATGAATGCATCGTTATTTTCCTCCTTTTTTTCTCTCTTGTTTGTCATAAATTAATTAAAAAAATTAAAATGATGGACAAGATCCAAATAGAAAAAAAATGGAAGAGATAGGAAGTGAAGGACCGGGGAGGGAGGAGTGTAGAGAGTAGACACCTAACCTTTTTATAATTTTAAATTAACTATGAAATTCAAATTCAAGTCAATCATGTGAGCTTATATATTAAGTAATTTCAAATTATTTTAATGGAAAAGAGCCTAAAATGTCCTTAAACTATGATAGTTGGTACAATACTACCCTTCATCCACCTAATGAGTATGATCTGTTAGACATAAGGGTATTTTTGAGCCGAAAGGTGGACGTCAGAGGTATTTTAGGCCTGATAGGTGGATGGAGGGTAACTTTTACCAATTCAAACACTTGATGATTTTTCCAATAATTTAGCACGACAAGACAATAATGTATCTTTGCATAATGCTCATAAAAATAAAAATAGTAATAACTAATATGAAAAAAACTATACAAGTACAACAGAAATAAAGCACTATCACAGTGATGTGAATTGAAAGCTGAAGGGAAAATATAGTAACTACAGTAGTAAGGTACCGATACTAATATTTAATATTTATGCAAGGGCAAAGTAGAAAATTATTACCGTCTTAATGAGTTATTGATTTACCCAATATTTAAAAATCAAAATCAAATCGATAACCCAATAATTTATTTTATAAAATCATTAAAAATTCATTAACCCAATAGCAATAAAAAAATATCATTTATTTTGATTCGATTTATTGATCCATTCAATTTTTGCACATTCATACGGTGACGGATCTAGGATTTTCATTCAGGGGGTTCAAACAATAAAAATATAAACGTGTGAATAAGCACGTTTGAATTTTTTTGGGTCTAATTAAATATACTCTTTTTTTATAAAAAAAAAACGTGAAAGATTGGTCCTGAAACTAAATGAAGAGAAGGTAAAAAAATAAAATGACCACAATGGGATTAGAAAACCCTAGACATGAGGGCCAATCTAATAGAAGATCTACCACTAGACCACAACTTACTTCTTTTTCATGATAGGGTTCAAAATTATTATATCTGCATAAATTCAGAAAATCTACCTTATATATATAATGTAATTTTTTGTCGAGGAGATTCGGGTGAACTTCAGAGACCACGTGGATCTGCCCCTGCATCCATACATTCCTGACTTATTTTAGACAATATTTTTAAAAAAATTATCTTATATTCATGTCAAATCAAATTATGTATCATAAATTAAAACGAAATAAAATATTCGATCAACGGATTAAAAATATCTTGCCGCCGATGGCAAGGCCTTTATTCTTTAGCATATATCGAGGAGCCGAAATTTATATTTGGCAGTTGGCACTTGGTGGAGCTCTTCTTGTAACAAGTCATCAAAATCTTTTATTCTCCACTATATATTATAAAAATAAATATTCTTTTAACAGTACACCACACCCTCTGCAATCTGAAAACTAAAAAAATTAAAAAACTGAAAAAAAAATAATTAAAAATTATAACGTCTGGAAACTCTAGAACATACTAGAACAACAATTAGTAACTACTAAATATATCATACTTGTTCTTCGTGCTCGTGGTCCTACTAGAGTTGGTGTTTATCTATACCGTCAAATTAGCCTTCTTTTTAATGTTATTAAATTAATCTTATACTATTATTAGTATTATATTCCAACATTGGTACAGTATATATAATATAATATTAGTAGTATGTTCAGCTGAGTGGGACTAGATATGCACCATTTAAATTTTGGGGTCATGATGAGAGATCACAAGTAGCACTTTAAGTAAGTGTTTTGACCATAAATTTTAAATATTTTTTATTTTATTTAAAATTTATGGAAATAAAATGATATTTAATTATAGTTTTGTAAAATTTGAAACAATGTTTATGTTTAAACAATTTAAATATAATTTTAAAAAAGAAAAGTGAGTTACAAAATAAATTATAGTCTTTATTTGTAGTAGTTTGTAGGATGAGTCTGTATCGTCTTTTCGATTTTAAAGTAAGGATGTTACTAGTCCATTAACACAGGCTTAGATCTATTTTGTAAGTGAGCAGTTTTTGATAGGTCTGCAAAATTAATCACTGTTGATGACATCACATTATCTTAAATTAAGAATAATAATTTAATATAATGAAAAAATGCTAGGCAACAAGAATAGGTATTATTTTTCAAATTTGAAATTTTCATTATCAAGAATTTTTTTTAACTAAAGTAAATTACTCTAAAAAAATAAATCTTTTTAATCAACGCCTTACGCAT